GCTGCAGCACCGGCACCCGTGCTCTGCCTGGAAGAGGCGCGTTGGCAGCGGGAATGTCCCAGGCCCAAGGGGTGATGGCGGTTCACTGCTGGTTTCTCCCACAGCTGGGCTTCAACATCCGGGGAGGAAAAGCCTCGCAGCTGGGGATCTTCATCTCTAAGGTGTGTCTGTCCTTCTGCCATCCCGTCCCTGCGTTCTCGCCGTTCCCTCGGGTGTTGCTGAGCCAGCTGGGGGTGCAGGGAGGCTGCCACATGCCCCATGTGCATCTCTGAACCCAAAGCTGTAATTTGCCACGCACCAAGCAGCAATCAGACAGTCCTGCGCCATTTCCCCGTCTCTCCCCAGCCCACAGAGTGCTGCTGGTGCACTGCAGTCCCCGCTGCGAGGGCACTGGCTGGGGGGGGGGTGTGGGAGCCGGCCGTGCCGCGTGTCACTGCCGCTGTCTCTGCTCTTCCCTTCGCAGGTGATCCCTGACTCGGACGCGCACAGAGCTGGGCTGCAGGAAGGAGACCAGGTGCTCTCAGTGAACGATGTGGATTTCCAGGACATTGAGCACAGCAAGGTGAGCGCTCCCACAGCCCTGCTGCCAGAGCAGGGACAGCACCATCTCCTCCTGGCCTCTCAGCCTGCGCCAGCTCAGCTGGTGGCACCGTATAACTGATAACGTTCCTCCTTCCTGGTCACTGAGCAACTCTTTCTGCTTTCAGGCTGTGGAGATCCTGAAGACAGCCCGTGAAATCACCATGCGCGTGCGTTACTTCCCCTACAGTAAGTGCCCGCTAGCTCCGAGTTGTCACCTAGCAGCACTTCTCCTCGGGAAGCAGGCTGCCACGCGTCCCTGTGCTCCCACCTGAGCTTAGTGGTGATGAATCTAAGGTCACGGATGGTGTTCAGTTAGCAGCCTGCAGATCAGAAAGAACGTGAGGCTTTGACCTGGGGACCCGGACAGCTACCAAGCCAGAGCAGTAAGGACTGGCTTCAGCTGCCCACACAGAAGAATTCGTAGAGCAGGGCTTAGCAGCACAGTGCTGAAAGCTGGGATGGTTCTTGGATGGAAGTGTTCCCTTTAGAGCTGTAGAAGATACTACTTATCTTTGAATAACATGGGAATTAGTTCTGTCGCTGGTGGACCTGTGCCGATGGCGGACACTGCTTGTGGCTTTTATCCCTCCCTGAGAATGTTTAAATTCTGAGTGAGGGGCAAGATTGTGTTAACTCTTGGTTTCTGCACCCATAAAGTTCATAGGTATAAGGGGGAATAAGTAGAGGTCAAGACAAGCTAAACAAAGATTCCTCATAAAATGGAAACTGACCCTAAAGTGAAGAAAGAAGAAAAATATGGAGCAGGGGAAGAGAGGACTTGAAACGTTTTGTTCTAAATGCCCTGAAATAACTTGAAGTGACTGGCTGGGGTGTGAAGGTGCTATTTTAAAGCCAGCTGCTACCCAAGAGGGCGGCAAACTGCCTCTTCTTAGGTGGAAACAGAATGTGCGTTCTCCTTTAGCATCCTGGCTAATTCCTCCTTGTCACCCGTGA